GGAAAACGCGGGACTCTCAATTACTCATTCAACCCAGAGCTTCCTTTCATAATGTCTGATCTCTCAGTCATCCAAGATAGAATGAGGAAACATGCTTTAGGATTTTAAAGACAGAGAAAGGAGCCCAATGTGTTTCTTAAATGCCAAACCAATATTAAAAAGTGATGACTTGTCTTTGCAGTATGTCCCTTAGAAATGAACCCTTAATTTGTAAATAAATTGCACTTAATAATATGTACATGTCCTTAATAATAGGTGTATTCTTAATACTACATAGCAAACATCTTCAATAATAGCTAAATTCAGAGCCTTTACTTTAATGTTTGTTTCTTGAAAGTTTTACCACACGTTTTTCTGAGAATGTTAGTAATGCATAAATTATGTTAACCAATGAAGTCAGACAAGATACTTACCTCTTCAAGGCATTCCAGAGTGCAATGACCCTCTGATCTAAACTCAGGCATTCCTGGAGGGATGTTATGGAAGAGACTGACCCAGAGACCTGCTTCAATTATCCCAGCATCATATTTCCTTAAAATGGTGGTATGAAAGAACCTCAGTCCAGAGCTATCTATCAAGCCTGTAATAAAAGCACATGATGGAAAGTGAGTTTGACCCTGTAAAAGAAAAAATAAAATACCATTACTCTCTAGTCTATTAAGCTGGGTTCATTAGTTTTCTGCAATGAAAACTCTGCAATGAAGGAATAAAGCTGGCAATACATGAAAGCATTGTAAGAATTGAAAAGCCCTAATTAAAAGGCCAGTCATTAGTGGAGAGCTAGACAAACTATTCTGCTCCTCACACTACCTCAACCACTGTCAAATTTCACAGTAAATTACAGAAATCTGAGTCACCTACCTGGTATGCCACATTCCTCTAATATGAAGACCAAATATTAAATTAAAGGTCATTCATCTGTACCAAGAATAATTCAAAGAAGTAACTGTTTAATTTTGAACTGAGACACAATAGTTTCAAAATAAAAATGAATAACTCTTGATCTGCGACTGATTTGCTAATTATAAAAAGAAAAAAAAACCCTATCCAATGTGGTTTTAACTCCAACTCCCTTTTTGGCTCATTGTCAATCTATGACCCTCTGACATCTCACACAAAGCTATCATCATGAAATCCATTGATTCTTCAGGTGTGGAGGCTGACCTCATAAAGTATCTCCATGTGGCTGTTTATGAAATTGTCTAAAGTTCAAAGTGATTGTAAATAGTGCCCAAAGGACTCTATTTAACATTTTAAAATAATATGTATTTTGTCTAATTCAATAAAAATAGTATAACAGGAATGATTTAAAAATGAGCAATGGGGTGTTCTGTTTAATTAAATTTTCTGGTTAATTGTGGTTTAACAAAAAAAAAATTCTGACTTTCATTAGTTGTTGAAAATCCTTCCTAAATGTTAGTCTTCTTTCTTGTTTTGGTGAGAATAGTGTACTGGATACAATATACTCTTTCTCTTTTATGACAGGATTTTTAGTGCCTAATCATTATGAAAATCAATTCCAGAGGGAAAAGTATAGAGCTTTCTGTACTAACTCTTGAATATACTTACACTATAGTTACTTTGGAATTATCTACTAGTGTTTTCAAATTTATTTAAATAAATCATGGTATGAGCTTACATATTTGTACTTTGTTTCTTTCTCTTTATCCATTAATCCAATTTTGCTTCTCCCCCAAATGTATGACTTATTTTTAACATTCTTTTATTTCTGAATTTTGAGTTCCAAATTATCTCCCTCCCATCCCCTCTCATTGCCACTGAGAAACCAAATAATATATCAGTTACACATGTGAAATCATGCAAAACATATTTCCATGTTAGCCATATTTCAAAAAAAAAACAAGAAAAAGGAAGAAAATAATACTTCAATTTACACTCAGAGTTCATCAGTTCTCTCTCTAGAGGTGGATAGCATTTTTCAACAGGAGTCTTTCGGAATTGTCTTGGATCACTGTGTTAATCAGAGTAGCCATGTCCTTCACAGTTGATCATCATAACAACATTGCTGGCACTGTGCACAATGATTTACCAATTTGGCTTAGACTATTTTGTATCAATTCATATAGATCTTGCCATTTTTTTGAAACCACCCCACCTTGTCCTTTCTTATAGAATAATAGTGCTTCATCACATTTATATGGCACAACTTGTTCAGACATTCTCCAACTGATGAACCTTCCCTCCATTTCCAATTATTTGCCACCACAAAAACAGCTGTTATAACTATTTTTGTATATATATAGTTTCTTTTCCTTTTTCTTTGATCTCTTTAGGATATAGACCTAGTAGTGTTATTTCTGGGTCAAAGGCTATGTACAGTTTTCTGGAGCTTTGGGCATAGTTTCAAATTGTTTTTCAGAATGGACCAGTTCACAACTCCACCAACAGTTCATTAATGAACCTATTTTCCCCATTCCCTTCAGCATTTGTCATTTCTGAAGGTGTGAGGCAGAACTCAGAGTTGTTTTAATTTGAATTTCTCTAATCAATGGTGATTTGGAGCACTTTTATATGAGTATAAATACTTTGGATTTCTACTTAGGAAAATTGCCTATTCATATCCTTCGATGATTTATCAGCTGGGAAATGGCTCTTACTTTTATAAATTTGACTCAGTACAATATTACTGTCTATGGTGCCTTACAGCAAAATGCAGTCTTGCTGATCATCTCTTTTAATTAGGTCTTTTTTTGCTTTTGCTTTATCTGAAATCATAATTGCTATTCCAACCTTTTTGATTTCATCTGAAGTATAATAGATTCTGCTCCAGCCCTTTATTTTAACCCTGCGTGTGTCTCTTGTTCTCAGCTTATTGTCGGATTCTGGTTTCTAATCAGTCTGCTATCTGCAACCATTTGTGGCTTAACTTATCCACATTCACATTCACAGTTTTGATTAATAACTGTGCATTTCTCTCCATCTCATTATCTTGTTTCTTCTTTTTTCTCATTTCATTTTGCCCCTTCTCAAAAGTCTATTTTGCTTTTAACCACTGCCTCCCTTAATCTGCCCTACCTTTGATCATTACCCCCCTTTTCTCTTATCCCCTTCCCCTCCTATTTACTGGATTGGATAAGTTACATTTCTATACACAATTGTGTGTGTATACATATTCTTTTTTTTGAAATAATTCTGAGAGTGAGGTTTAAGCACAGCCTGCACAGTTCCTTGTACATCTTTTTTGTATTCTACTTCTCCTTTCCCCCTTCTCTCAGTGCATCCCTGTTTCTTTCCCCTTAATTTTTTTTGCGGGGGAATCATTCCAATATAATTATCTCCCACCTATGCCCTCCGCCTATGTAAACTCCTATAATTTCCCTAATAATGATAAAGTTCGTAAGAGTTACACGTATCATCTTCCCATATAGGAATGTAAATAGTTTATTGAGTCCTTTATGACTACTCCATGTTTACCTTTTTTTATGTCTCTCTCTTGAGTCTTGTGTTCAAATGTCAAATTTTCTATTTAGCTTTGGTCTTTTTATCAGAAATACTTGAAAGCCCTCTATTTCATTAAATATTCATTTTCCCTGAAGGAAAGAAAAAACTCAGTTTTGCTGGGTAAGTGATTCTTGGTTTTAATTATAGCTATTTTGCCTTCTGGAATGTGATATTCCAAGTCCTCCACTTCTTTAATGTGGAAGCATCTAAATCTTGTATGATCCTGATTGTGCCTCCACAGTATTTGAATTGTTTCTTTCTAGATGCTTGAAGTATTTTTTTCACTGATGTGGGAGCTCTGAAATTCGGCTATAATATTCCTGGGAATTTTCATTTTGAAATCTCTTTCAGGAGGTGATCCAGTGGAATCTTCCAATGCCTATTTTACTCTGTGGATCTAAGGTATTGGGACAGTTTTCTTCAATTTTTTTTTTTGAAATATAAAGTCTAGGTTCTTTATAATGGTTTTCAGGCAGTTCAATAATTCTTAAATTATCTCTCTTTGATCTATTTTCCAGATCAGTTGCCTTCCAATGAGATATCTCACATTTTCTTCTATATTTATTTTTCATTTTTGTGACTTTGTTTTTTTATTGTTTCTTGATGTCTTGTGGAGCCATTAGATCATACTTGCCCAATTCTAATTTTTGAGGAATTATTTTCTTCAGTGAGATTTTGTATTCAGTGACTTTTTTTTCCATTTGGCCTATTCTGCTTATTAGAGATTCTTTTCTTCAGTGAATTTTTGTGCCTCTTTTAACATTAGGCCAATTCTGTTTATTTTTTTATTTTTATTTTTTAGAAATATATTTCTAAAGTTTAATAATTTACAAGTTGTTGTTATTTTAATTATGTAAGTTCATTTTTCTGTGCCAGGCAGATGTAGGATTAAAAGAATGAGAAGTTACATGGACAAAGCTTCTCAGTGGCCAGAAGGGGCTTGAATGGAGCACTATACTGGAAGAAAGGAAAAGAAAGTTGAGTTGATGAGGGTTTAGCCTTAGATGAAACCCTGTGCTACCCTTTTCAGTCTCAGTTTTTCTTTGAACGGAGGCTTTGGCTGTAGAGGAAATCATTGATAAAAGAAGAGACTAGGAATAGTGAGGGAGGAAATAGGAATAATTCAGATTGCATCTAGTCTGTGATCAGGAAGAAATAAATTATTGGGCAAAAGTGCACTTTGGTTAGAAACTTACTCTATTTAATCGTGTGCCAGAAACTGAACCAAAGGTGATTTTACAAGTTAACCACAGGACACTTCCAGCATGTGACTCAGGTATTAAGTGAATACTCCATTCATTTCCTGGGAAGCTTTTCTCCAAGTCCACAAGTATCCTTCCTTGACTTCTGTTAGAGGCAACAGGAGCTCACTTGAGAGCTCTCCATCCTCACCCAGTCTTCTGGAGAGAGCGGGGAGAGGAGAAAAGGGTCAGGGCCCAATTACGTGGAGGAAGTTCACAGGAACTTTTTCAGCTTTGTCTTTCCCAAGTGTCCTCCACACTGTTTCCTGTTGTGAGCACCATTCCTCAGAGCGTCGTTTAACTCTTCGGGACTGGACCTTGTTCACTTTGTTTTGGCAGAGTGATGTTACCTGGGGGGGGGGCACAAAATACTCCTCGACAGTCTGCTGAGAGTTCTGTAGCAGGGCTTCCGCACAGCTGCCTTCTACCACGTCATCTGCTCTCAGGTACAGGCACCGGTCTTCCAGCACCGACGCCATGGGCGCCACGCCGTCCGTGTCCACGGCGCGGAGCTGCCCCGCAAACTCGATGGCCGCCTGCAGCCGCGCCACGCCCTCGCGGTTTCGGAAATCCACCAGGGCCAGGCGCTCCAGGTGCTCGATCCTCTCTGGGCTGGGGCCCGAGGCCTTCTCCGAGTCACTCCCTGCAAACGGCAGCTCCCGACTCGTGCTCCCGGCGCCCCCGCTACCGCACCCGTCGCGCCGGGGCCCCGCCCTGCCCGGAGCGCCGCTCGGAGCGTCCGACGCCACGGGCCACAGGCTTCACTGCGAGCGAGAAACCTGTTTATTTTTTTTAAGGTGTTATTTTCATCAGTATTTTTTGTGTCTCTTTTACCAAGCTGTTAATTCTCCTTTCATAATTTTCTTGACTCACACTCATTTCTTTTCTGAATTTTTCCTGTATCATCCATCTCTTTCATTAACTCTTCCAGGAATTATTACTGGGCTTGAGTCCAATTAGCATTTTTCTTTGAGGCTTTTTTGTAGCTGTTTTCACATTGTTGTCTTCTGAGTTAATGTTTTGATCTTTCTTGCCATGGTAGTAGTTTTTTTATATTAAAATTATTTGTTGTTGTTTGCTCATTTTTCCAGCCTATTTATTATTGACTTTGAACTTCATCGTAAAGTTGGGCTCTGCTCACCTGAGGGTGGGAAGGCACCTTCCCCAATTTCAAGCTTTTTGTACCACTAATTTCATAGATAGTTCTGGAGATCTGGTAGTTTTTGGTGCTTCCAAGGTGGTGTGATCCTGGGAGGGGTATGGTCACTGCTCTCCTGGTCTGTGCTCTGGTCTTTACTAAGAAAGTATCCCTAGTCCTCTGCAGCTGCACACACTAGTGCTCCTCTCTCCTTTGGTACAATGACCAAGGTCCCTGCTTACTTGTGACTAACCTCACTAATGCCCCTCTTCATCCTGGAACCATGACCTAGAACTGCATATGAACAATAGAGCTGCCAATCAGAGTCAGCCATATCCAATGACAGTGAAGGGTCCTCTATAATCTCTTTCTGAGCAGTTGTCCAATGCCCTCACCATCTCTGGCCTGAGAGCTCCCAAAGCTGCTGCTAGAGCTTCTGTGACCACTGCTGCCCCACCACATGTATGAGGTCTGGACCTGTACTGACCTTTACGTCAGTGTTAGAGACTTCTTCTGCCTACCTCTTTAGTTTTCTTAGGCTGGAAAAAAATCTCACCCTGACTTTTTGTTGGCTCTGCCACTCCAAAATTTGATTTACAGTGACATTTTAAAGTTGTTTGGAGGGGAATGTTGGGAGAGTTCAGCTGGGTGACTGCCCTTAATCCACAATCTTGCAATCTCATTATTCTTGAAAACAATTTAGTGACTAAAAAGCCCCTACTAATTGTACATGGCTTTTGATGCAGCAATACCATTACTAGGCATATGCTCCCAAGGAGATCAAACACAGAAAGAATGGGTATATACACACAGACACAAAGACATACATACATACATACATACATACATACATATACATATATACACACATAACTTTTATTGTGGCAAAGTAGATACCCATCAATATTGAATTGGATAAAAATTTGATGAATGAATCTAATAGAATATTATTACACTATAATAAATGGCTAATGGGAAGAATTCTGAGAAACTTTGTAAACTTTATGTGAACTAATGAATAAATCAATCAAATAACTGTTTATTAAGTACTTATTGCTTTATATGATTCTAAGTGCTAGGGATAAAAATAGGAAAATTCAAAGGAGAATGGGTTTAAGGGAAAAGATAAAGAGGTCTATTTTGAACATGTTGTGTTTAAGGCATTTATGGGACATCCAATCTGAAATGTTTAATAGTCATGCAGTACTGGAACTCAGGAGAATGATGATGGCAGGGTATATAAATCTGGGAGTCATCTGCATACCAAGGGAACTGATGAGATGAGAGAGAGAGAGAGAGAGAGAGAGAGAGAGAGAGAGAGAGAGAGAGAGAGAGAGAGAGAGAGAGAAGCAGAAGGCCCAAGGCAAATCTTTGAGTTATACTCACAATTAGGGCTCATGATATGGATGTTGATTCTACAAACACTGAGAAGGTGAGAAAAATGGTTATACTCATAGGAGACAAACCAAGAGAACAGTGCCAAGAAAGTATACAGGATATAGAGTGAAATAACTAAGAATATAATAGGTATTTATCGCAAAAATGTAATGGAAAACAATGGTAAAAGACTTTAAAACTTTGATCAACACAGTGACCTATAATAACTTCAGAAGACTGATAGTGAAGTATATTTCTTGCCTCTTAGAAGAGATGTGGTACAGAATGAGTATGTATTTTCAGACATGGCCAATATGCTGGTTAGTTTTGCTTGACTATGATATTTCTTATAAAGGTAGCACTATAGGGTAGTGGTGAAGATAGAGGTGGAGGTGGGGATGGGGAGAAATTTAATGGAAAGTGTCAGTGATCAATTTTCAAAGGAAGAAATCCAAGTTCTCAACAGCTATATGAAAAACTGCTCCAAATCACTAACAATTCAAGAAAGGAAAATCAAAGTGACTCAGGTTCTATCTCACCCCTATCAGATTTGTAAAGACGCAGAAAAGAAAATGACAAATGTTAATGGGTGTGCAGGAAAATAGACACACTAATGCTCAGTTAGAACTATGAATTATTCTAGCCATTCTGGAAAACAGTTTGGAACTATGCCCCTAGACTTCCTAACCCGTGCATACCCTTCAACCTAGCAATAGTAGTACTAGGCTTATATCCCAAAGAGATCCAAGAAAGAGGATAAGGGTCCATATGTACAAAACTATCTATGACAGTTCTTTTTTTGTTTGTGGTGGCAATGACTGGAAACTAAGGGGAGGGGTGTCAATTGAGGGATGTTTGAAAAAATTCTGGTATTATATGAATGTAGTGATGATACTATTGGGCTATAAGAAATGACAAAAAGTCATGATTTCAGAACAAGGTGGGAATACTTGTATGAACTGATACAGACTGAAGTGAATAGAACCTAGAGAACAATTCATTGAATAACAACTATATTGCAAAGACAAATAAACTGGAAAGATTCAAGAACTCTGGTCAATGCAATAGCTTTCCTTTGTAGGCTACACCTTCCCACAGAGTAAATTTGGCTCATTGATTTCTAATTAAAATTTCTTCAGTTTGTGAATTTTAAATAAATACACCCTTTATTTGAGCTTTATTATCTCACCTCTAAGGGATCTCCTTCCCTATCATTTAAGACAGCCCTCCTGATAATTGATTACAAGGAGAGTTTTATAATCTGCATCAGCAGTAGAAGATAAGATAGTTATCAAGGAAAACCTGAACTGCTCCAGAGCAACTGACTGGAAAGGTTAACTAAATTCCAAAGAGGAAGAAAATACCCCCAACCCATCTTTTCCCTTTATCTGTGCTGGACTGGCATATCTTCTTATTCTTTAAATGAAGGTTAAATTTTTGAGCTTTCTAGAGGACCAGTGATGAAGCATGTTACCCATGTTCTGACAGAAAGATGATAGACTCAACAGTTAGCCAACAATAGATGTACATTAATATCACGCTTTCAGTTTTGTAAAACTCTTTAATATGCTATCTCATTTGATTCTTATTACAAGTCTTAAGTCTTAGCTATTATCCCACTTTCAATAAACATTTCCCTATCCTCTTTAATGCTAGTGCGTTCCCTATGAGATTATCTTTAATTTGTCCTGTATATATTTTGTTTGTATATAGTTTGCATGTCCCCTCTCCATTAGATTATATGTACATAGAGATAGATGGGGCGGTGGAATCTTATTGGCAAAATCAGTCAGTTTAGTTTGCAACCAGTTCTTATCAGCTGTGGTTCTGGTAATTGACCACTCTAGACCTTCCCTTCACTCCTTTCTGTTATATACAGTCAAAGATGAATACCATCAGAGATCCACATTCTTCTGAAGACAGAGAAGAAGAAAAAAAACATCTCTCCTGAACCAGTTTTCACAACATTTCCCTGAGAAACAAATAGTTTAGGCACACCACCAGCCATTACAGGGGTAGAATTCCAAAGTATACTACTTTTTGCACAAACTCCTTGACCTTATTCATGTACAGAGCCACCACTCTATATAAAATTCTTAGGGGGAAAAAAGGTAAGAGGTCAGTTAGTCAGAATTACTGCAACAATGGAACACTAATGCTGAGTTATTTGGTATCAGGTTTAGGGCAAGAAATGTGGCTAATCAGAGGGCACAGTTACAGCTGTGCTATAATGGAGGTTGCTTCCAGCTTTCCACAGCTGCATCCCCAGAACTCAGAGCCCCCTATTTGCAGATACACAGCAGCTGTGAAGGCTCCAAGCCACAGACAGTCCAAATCCCTAGAAAAATGCATTTAAAAAGATAAAATGGCAATCTCCCCAAATATTAGTAAAATGATGAATGTCTAAAAATTAACAAAACTAAACAAATCTTAGTTCTTTCTTCCCCTAAACTGATAAAAAGAGCTCATGTTCAATTTTTTCATTGAATCTTTTTTTAAAAAAATTATTTTTAGTTTTCAACAATCACTTCCATAAGCTTTTGAGTTTTAAATTTTCTCCCCCTCCTTCCCTACCTCCCTTTCCAAGACAGTATGCAACCTGATATAGGCTCTACATATACATTCCTGTTAAACATTTTCACATTAGTCATGTTGTAAAGAAGAATTAGGACCAATAGGAGGAACCACAAGAAAGAATAAACAAAACAAAACAAATGGGAAAAAAGAGCAAATAGTATGCTTCGATCTGCGTTCAAACTCCATAGTTCTTTCTCTGGATGTGGATAGCATTTTCCACCATTAGACTTTTGGAGATGTCTTAGACCCATGGATTGCTGAGAAGAGCTACGTCTATCAAAGTTAGTCATTGCACAATGTGGCTGTTAATATGTACAATGTTCTCCTGGTTCTGCTCACTCCTCTCAGCATCAGTCCGTATAAGTCTTTCCAGGTTTTTCTGAAGTCTACTTGCTCATCATTTCTTATAGCACAATAGAATTCCATTACATTCATATACCACAATTTGCTCAGCCATTCCCCAACTTATGGGCATCCCCTCAATTTCTAATTCTTTACCACCATAGAAAGAGCTGCTATAAATATTTTCGTACATGTGAGTACTTTTCTCATTTTTATGATCTCTTCGGGATATAGCCCTAGAAGTGCTATTGCTGGGTCAAAGGGTATGCACATTTTTATAGCCCTTTGGGCACATTTCCAAATCGCTCTCCAAAATGGTTGGATCAGTTCACAACTTCATCAATAATGCAATAATGTTTCAATTTTCTCACATCTTCTCCAACATTTATCATTTTCCTGTTTTATCATGTTAGCTAGTCTGACATATGTGGTGTGGTACCTTCATTGACTCTTAATGGTAAATGGATATAGCAAAGAAAACAAAGTAGCATAAACCCCTAGATTCAAAACATTCTATCAGGTAATAGAGGAAGAATTCATTTATATCAAATTGCTAATTTGCAAAGTACTTATACCGTTTCTGAAGAATGTTCAAATGAGCAAAAGATGATAGCTATGAAAGTCCTTTGGAAAGTTAAAAGTCCTATATAAATGTAATATGTGATGTGTGCCAATGTTAAGTAGTAAAATTAATATTGTTGTTCCTCCCACTATTGTATTTTCCTTAAAGGGAAACATTATTCCTATAACAGATTAACAGTATGATTTTTAAAACAGTTTTTGCTATTTTAGGGAAGTTTTGATTTTAAATTTCTCAGGTTAATTTTGGGAGAGAACCTAGGGAAGATGGAGAATAGATTCAGTATGAAAAAGCCAGCAGAACAAATAGCTATAGCAGATTTTTAATTGGCATTCTTTTCAGGGCACTACATCTTTATACCTTTTTTGTTTAAGGTTGAAGGCAATATAATGTGTTTT